ACCTGCTCCCCCCACCGACCAAACTGTGCAGCTCTGCAACTGCATCCTGGCCCATCCTCACCCTTCTGCCCCCAACCCTCACCTCCTTGTACCCTCAATATGTTTTTCCCAATAAAAAAAATATTTAAAGAAAAAAGGAAAATACTATGCCCAGTTCTGTTTTGCATGGGGTTGTCTTGAGTTAGAGGAGGTGGCAGCATTGAGGAATGAGTTAATGATGGCCACCAACTACAGCAGATAGAATTCACACAGAGTGTGCTATAATCTCATTGAACACAAAGTGTTGCCTTTCTCATCAGGCAAGTAGGGAAATTGCACTTGGGATGAATTTTTGGAAAGTCTGTCATTCTGATAGACAGTCTTGGGCATTCTTAGAGTAATTTCTAAAAATTAAGATATGGAGAGTTTCTCATGTAATTACTTATTTAAATTTCTTAATGTTAGGATGAACATTCTTTAAGTGCTACAGCAGTCATTAGTCTATTTGCTGTACTGAATAACTTGGAGTTGCTGTGATGCTGAACACTGTGCCATAGCTGTGTCAAATACCATAATGGTTACGCATCATGGACAGTGTTTGGAGGAGCTTCTAGATTGATTCAGGTTTGGAAGTAGGAGTGGCATCCACTTCATAAACCAGATGCCTCTGGGAACTCTGTAAACTCTATCAGCGTAAAGAAATGATGTTAATTATAGAACAGAGTTTAGGTCTTTTGTTCATAGGGTCTCTATAAGTCGTATTGGGCCTGACAACACTTGACTACTGCTAAGTGAGACTTGTTGTTGTTGTTGTTATGTGCTGTCGAGTCACCTGCAACTCATAGCCACCCCATGTATGAAGCCCTGCTCTATCCTTTGCCAATCTTATTGTCTCTGACACACCTATCGCCATTACCCAGTGACGGAATCAATCTATCTCATCTAGGATCTTCCTCTCCTGCGCTGTCCCGCCACACTCCCAGACATGACGTCTCTCACATTTGCAGCATGTCCAAAGTATGTCTGACAAAGCTTCAGAATCCTTGCCTCCAAGGAGCAGCCTGTCTTCATCCTCTCCAGGATGAACTTGTTTGTTCTCCTAGCAGTCCATGGTATATTCAATACTCTTCTCCATCACCACAGCTCAAAGACATCAGCTCTCCTTCTATCATCCCTAGTCATTGTCCAGCTCTCTGATGCATAGCAACTAATGGCAAAGACCATGACCTGTATCAGGTGCACCTTAATCTCCAGACTGAGATTGTTGCTTCTCAGTATCTTGGAGAGGTCTCTGACAGCTGACTTTCCCAGTGCAATTCATCTTTTCATTTCCTGGCTGCTGGTACCAATTGTGTTGGTTGTAGTGTCAAGCAAACTGAAGCTGTCAACAATCTCATTCTGTTTACCATCTATCATGTTGCTGCCAATCTGCCCAGTGGTGAGAATCTTTGTTTTCTTTTTTTTCCCTATAATTATATTTTATTAATTTTCATAAACATTTACAGAGATTGGGTTTCCATTCATTCATTGTTGCACTATTCTCTCTACCCTCCTCCCAGTTTGTTCTTGTCCAAATGCCACAGTGCTTGTCAAAGCCAGTTCTGATTAATCTTCTTTGTCAGTGTGTCCTTTGCCATTCCCTATCACTCCTCCCTGAGAGAGACTTCACCCTGAGTCATAAGGAAAAGGGGATGGCGTATTCTCTTAGCTACTTCCTGCTGAAAAGGGACGTTGTGGGTTTCAGAGAATCTTTGTTTTCTTGATGTTCAACTTTAATCCATATCGAAGGCTGTAATCTTTGACCTTCAGATCAAGCACTTCAGGTCCTCCTCAGTTTCAACAAGCAGGGTTGTGTCATCTGCATAACGCAGATTGTTGATGTGTCTACCTCCAATCCCGATGCAACACTTCTCCTCATAGAGCCCAGCCTCCCGGATAATCTGTTCTGTGTATAGATTGAAAAGATAGGAGATAGGACACATTCTTGACACACACCCTTCCCAATTTTGAACCATGAAGTGTTTCCTTGTTCTATTCTGACGACTGCCTCATGGTCCAATATAAGTTTCGCATAAGCATGACCAAGTGTTCTGGGATTCCCATTCTTCTCAAAGTCAGCCGCAGTTTCTTGTGATCCGCACAGTCAAATATATCAGCATAATTAAAACCCAATTTTTTAAAAAACATGTAAAAAAAATTTAAAAAAATAAAAAAAATACATCTGCATAGTCAATGAACACAGATAGACATTCCTCTCATACTCTCTGCTTTCAGCCAAGATCCATCTGATATTGTTGTTGTTTGTTGTTATGTGCCATCGAGTCGTTTACGACTCATAGCGACCCTGTGTACAACAGCCCTAAACCCTGCTCTATCCTGTGCCAGTCTCATTGCCTCTGACACACCCATCCCGATTACCCCAGTCACTGAATCAATCCACCTCATGGAGGGTCTTCCCCTCCTGTGCTGTCCCTCTATTCTACCCAGCATGATGTCCCTCTCCAAAGACCTGTCTCTCCTTGCAACATGTCCAGAGTATGTCAGGCGAAGCCCCAGAATCTTTGCCTCCAAGGAGTAGCCTGGTTTAACCCTCTCTAGGATGAATCTGTTTGTTTTCTTGGCAGTCCATGGTACATTCAGTACTCTTCTCCAGCACCACAGCTCAAAGGCATCAATTCTCCTTCTGTCCTCCCTAGTCATTGTCCACCTCTCTGATGCATAACAAGTGATTGCAAAGACCATGGCCTGTATCAGGCGCACCTTCGTCTCCAAAGAGACACCGTTGCTCTTGAGTACTTTAGAGAGGTCCCTAACAGCAGACTTTCCCATCTGAATACGTTTTTTTTATTTCCTGGCTGCTGGTGTCAAGAATAGTAATCTGATATTAGCTATTGTTATATTTTGGAGGAACATTCTTCTACTTTCTACATCACTCTTTGTCAGTTCTACTGAGGTGATCTGGGTTTGCTGTTATGCTGAACATTGTGCCATTGGGGTGTGAGATGCCATAATGGTCTCCCAATCTAGACAGTGTTTGGTGAGCTCCCAGATGTAAAGCAGGTTTGGAAGCAGGGGTGGCATCCACTTCCTAAACCACATGCCTATGGAAACTCTATGAACTTAGAGAAATGATGATGGTCTTTGTTCATGGAGTCATGAGTTGTGCTCGGCTTGACAGCAATCAGCAACAACAGTTTGGCCCTTTTTATGAAGATGGTACTGAAAGAAAAAGAAGGAAGCACCTGCTGCTCCCAAAATTGAAGCTAACTCAAAGGAGTGAAAGGCTAAGAAAGAAAAAAAAAAAAAAGATCCGCACGTCACCTACCTTCTGGCAGCCTAAGGAAATCCAAAGGCAGCCCAGATACCCCTGGAAGAGCTCCCAGAGGCGATACAAGCTTGACCACTATGCCATCATCAAGTTTCCCCTGACCACTGTCCCCTGACCACTGAGTCAGCCATGAAGAAGACAGAAGAAAATAACACTGTGACACTGATGTGGCCAAGGTCAACACCTTGATTAGGCCTGATGGAGAGAAGAAGGCCTGTTTGACCTTCTTCTATGATGCTTTGGATGTCACCAACAAAATTTGGCTCATCTAAACAGTTCAGCTGGCTAATTCTAAATATAAATTTTCTCACACACAAAAAAAGGAGAAAATTAGTTTGGATTTTGACTAGAATTTAAATGCTTTTAAGATGCATTGTTGATAGTTATAGATTCTAAGGAGTTTAATAAATAGAATTTGTATTTATAGCTCTTTAAAAAAATATCCAATGTTTCCTATCTTGTAATGTCCCTATTTCTTCTCCTAAGACCCAAAGAGGCTGTATTTTGCCCCTCCAGTGCTCTGCCAGTAAACTTCATTTATATGACATTCTTTCCAGCCACATCATAGGCTCTCAGATAATGAAGGAAGGGGCCCTTCCCTCTCCCTTCACTGATGAAGAACATGAGTTTCAGTGAGGTAAAAGCCCCTTCTAAACCTCGGTATATGAATCAAGTCTCCTGACTCACTCAGGTCTCCTGACCCCTTCCCTGTCCTGTGCACATTCCTTCTCACCAAGAATTTTTGTACTTTCTCTTATGACCGTGGACCAGGTTTGAATTTGGGTGGCTTCATTTTATTTGCCTCAACTTGGCTTCCTGTGTGTATAGCCAAGTATAGGGTATATTCTTAGGGGCTGTAGAACTCTGTTGTTACAGTCCTGACTTTACTTCTGGGAGTGTTTCATCCTCTGAACTACTATTAAGAGTTAAATTCCCTTATGCGCCCTGAGCAAGAAACAGGACAGTTGGCAATCCTAGGAATTTGACCACAGAAAGAGGTCAAATGCAGCATAAATCAGTGAAGATGTTCTCGTGAAGGTGAGGCTGCTTAGATGTGGGTGGTGACAGGAGGGGCTGTGGCCGTAGACAACTTTGGGCTTCAGTCCTTAGAGTCCAGGGATGAGATGAGAGTAAATCCTTGTGTTGCTCCTGACTAATACAAGTCCAAAGCTTGTACACCCATCATCGAATATGGATGTGACTAACTGACCTAACTGAATAGTGACTACTCATTCCAGGCATTGCTGGTGTAATTGTTGCATACTCAGGATGGCTTTCAGACCTGCTTTTCTCAGATATGATGGTCTTATTCTGCTAAGGTTAGCTCTGCAGCTCTGGTAAGGAAGGTTGCTCCTGTGGTCGAGTTCACATTCGAGCCACGCTGTGTACATTGTCGACTTCAATGCCCACCTTGTCTGCCTCATGATAACCAAGTCCTGCGGGATCACCCGTCTTCTTTGTGTGGGAATGGATATGTCCTTGTGGCATATTGGAAAAATGGTGCGGGGTCTGGGATGCAGAACTGACCACTTGTTCCTGCTCCATGTCACATGCAGGGGGACCAGACGGCCCTGCACCGGGCCACGGTGGTGGGGAACACCGAGATCATCGCTGCGCTCATCCAGGAGGGATGTGCTCTGGACAGACAGGACAAGGTAAGGGGTGCAGGTCCTTGCCACCCTGCAGACTGGCTGGACATGCAGACGATCACAGCAGAGCTGGAAGACTCCAAATTGGAAACATAGACAAGTGCTGGAGATGTTACTGAGTCTTATTTATGACTTCACATAATGAAATCAGACAATTTCCTTTGCAAAGGATACTTGGTGCCCCAACACATAGTATTTTTTCAATCCTTCCTCCTGTGTTTCTTTTCTTCTCCTGTGGTCCCCCCCCCCTTGTGTTTTTAGCATCAGTGGCAACCATATAAATCATGAATACAAAGTCAAACCCACTTCCCGCAGGTTCCAGTCAGTAGGCTCTGACTCACAGCGACCCTCCATTGGGTTTCTGAGGCTGTAAGTCTCTGTGGGAGGAAACTGCTCATCTTTTGCCCACAGAGCTGCTGGTGGATTCAAACTGCCTACCTTTAGGTTAGGCACTATACTATGCTGTTGTTGTTAGGTAGGTGCCATGAAGTGGACTATGACTCATAGCAGTGCTATGAACAACAGGTCTGAACCCTGCCCTTTCCTGTGCCATCCTCACATCTCTCATATACTTGAGCCCATTTTTGCATTTACCGTGTCATTCCATCTTGTTGAGGGTCTCTCTTTCATTGACCTTTCCCAGCATGATGTCTTTTATCCACGAACTAACCCCTCCAAACAATATACTCAGACAAAGTATGTAAGAAGAAGTTTCACCATCCTTGCCACTAAGGAGCATTCCGATACCTTTGTTGTTGGGAGGAAGTGCCATCAAATTGACTACAACATACAGGGACCCTTTGAACAGTGGATCTGACCCCAGCCCTACCCTGTGCCACCCCCATCATCTCTAATACATTTGAGCCCACCATTACATCCATCTCATTGAGAGTTTTCCCCTCCTTTGCTGACCCTCCACTTTTCCAAGTATAATGTCCTTTCCGTAGTACTGGCACCTCCTAAAAACATGCCCAAATTATGTCAAACTAAGTTTCATAATCATTGCCTCCAAGGAGCACTCTGGCTGCACATTCTCCCAGACGTAGTTGTTTGTCCTAATGGTAGTCCATTAGATACGCAGCGCTTTTCCCCAGCCCCACAATTCAAAGCATCAATTTCTTCTTCTGTCATCCTTTTTTCATTGTTCAGCTGTCACATGCATAGCCATAGCAAGTCATTGAAAAGACCATGGCTTGAATCAGGCACACTTTAGTCTGCAAATCAACAATGCTACTCTTCAGCAAAAGCTGAAATAGGAATCAGCAAAATTGGAGGAGTTCCTGACAGCTGACTTGCACAGTGCAATATGTCTTTTGGTTTCCTGGCTGCCGGTGCCAAGGATGTTGGTTGGGATCCAGGAAAGATGAAGTCATTGCCAATTTCTGTCCCTTTTCCATCTATCATGATGTTGCCTATTTGCCCGGTGGTGAAGAATTTTGTTTTCTAGATGTTTAGATGTAATCCATATTGAAGGGCTGTAGTCTTTGATCCACTGTAACAAGTGTTTCAGGTCTTCCTCACTTTCAGCTACAACGTTGTATCTGCTTCCATAACAAAAGTTGTTGATGGATCTTCCTCCAATCCTGAATCCAAGTCTAAGCCAGAGCCTTACTACATACTACCTCTGCACTGTCCCCTACTGGCTGACATAGAAACAGCATGAAGATCTTACCTCTCCCCACACTTCTTCCTCCAGATAACTCCGTACTTCCTGGCACTGCCTTACTCAACTCCTTGCACATTTCTTTCTTAAAGAACTTGCTATTAAGCAAACAAAGGGGCTTTGGTGGATTAGTGAATAAGTGGATTAGTGCTGCCAACCCAAAGGCAGGCAGTTTGAATCTATCAGCTGCTCCATGGGAGAAAGATGTATAGTGTAGTCTCTTTCCGTATGATTTAGAGCCTCTGAAAAACCACAAGAGGGCCAGATCTGAATCAGTTCTGACTCGATGGCAATGAATTTAACTCATTATTTTTTATTAAGCAAACAAGAGCTATATTTGTTAACTGACTGGTTTCCGTATAAAACGACATTTGCTTATCTTATTTAAGAATAACGGTTTTCTCTGTGCCTGCTCCTCATTTGTTTGGATCCCTGGGTGAGATTACATTTTTGGAAAGAAATGCGAGAAGAGTGTCTACCTATTAGGCCTCTTGGATTTACAAAACTGGACTGTCCATCTCTACAGAGATCTGTGAGGCCAGGAGCAGAGCAGACCCTAAGGGGTAACAGAAGTGGGAAGAAAATCTTGTGTTGATACTTGCTATGTTCTGTTATCGTATGTTCTGTTCCCTGTAAGCTTTGGTCGCCTTGGAGTCATTCTCAACTGAGGTTCTCAAGGATTAAATTAATCCCAAATGATCTAAGGGCATCTATTGTATATCATTGGACTCATTTCTCTTCTAAACATCTTGGATGCCACTATTATTGGAAGGATTCATAAAATAGCTACTCAAATAATTTTCCATGTTGTATGGTTCAAATGGGGAACCTGAGTTGAGAAAGCCCCTGTGGGGTGGCCTAAAAAGAAGTACAATGGACCCAAGAGAATAGGATAACTTTCCAGATCCTTCAGAGAAGATAATGAATATAATGGGCCTTGGGTCGTATGCTTTCTCTCCCTGGTTGTGTTCCTTAGGATGGGAATACGGCCCTGCATGAAGCGTCCTGGCACGGGTTCAGCCAGTCAACCAAGCTGCTTGTTAAGGCCGGAGCCAACGTGCTTGCCAGGAACAAGGTGAGGCCTGGCAGGTGCTAGAACTCCCCACTGACAAAGTGAGGATGGCTGTGGTTTCCCTTCCCGATGGCAAGTCAACAGTGAGCACTCAGAGCGTCACACACAGTGTGATGGGGTCAGTTTCAGCCACAGGTGTCATTTGAAGAGGAGAAGGCCCAAAGCAGATGCCCATTCCAGGCCAGAAACTAGGCCTTCAACACAGTAAAACCCTATTGCTGATGTGAGAAGCCCAGATACCTCTGGACACTATTAAAAGTACAGCAGGAGAGAGTCTTTTAAAAAAAAATCAGCCAAAGAACTTCAAAAGGGTATACCCAGTACTTGTAAGAGTGGTACAAATGGGTCTACTTAGACCCCACTTCAGGGAGGGCGGGGTTAGAACAACCATATAAGGAAAGTGATTTGGCCAAATGAAGAGCTATAAAACTGGTCCTAGATTTTCGCCCACTAACTACTCTCTTAGGAATTTATTCTAAATAAGTAATAAAACATGCATGCTGATAAAACTTCACTTGCAAGGATTCTAATGATAGCAATGCTTAAGGGAGGAAAAAATATGAAAGGATTTAGAACTATATTTCTTTTGTATAATTAAAAACAATATAGTCACTGACCTTGTATTTTTGGCGGTAATACTCATCATTTCTTAAAACCACATTTGTTAAGTAGAAACAAAATCATATGTACTGTACACCCTTATTCTTACTATTAATAGATATTATTAAAAAATTATAGCTGTAAAGATGTCCTCCAAAATATTAACAATGGTTATATCTGATAGCTGAGACTGATTGATTTTTAGTCACTTTGGTTTTCTTTCCTACATTTCCAGAATGAGCCCAGTTTTTCTTTTCATAATGAAGGAAAGGATGTATTTTATTTTAAAAAGAAGTGTTATCAATAGCCAAGAGGTATTTGCATCCATTGCAGAAGGGAAGTTTTAAGAGGCTCAACTTCTCTGTCCCCAGATGCCCATCCTAGGTCTGTGCTAAGGTTTGGAAGGGACCTCCCGCTTGCATCTCGGGGCAGAGGCTGATTCTTGTATCAGGTGTGTTAGACTGGAGCTCTGTGTGGCAGCAGCACAGAAACATGGGCAGCAGTAAACTCCCTAAAATGCACATACACACAATTGCCTGACAAAACCCACTAGTATCTCTAGTTAAGGATGCATAAATACAAATCTGCCCTAAGATCTTCAGCAACATCTGGCTAAAGATCTAATGTGTAAACAGCTACCTGTGTCAACCCATCAGAAAATATGCGCCATCCAGTTAGGGCCTTCTCCTCTGGACCTTGCATGCTTATTGGTGTGGTGTGCTGTTGAATTGGAACCAACTCATAGCTGATGCACCAGTGGGTTTTCAGAAGTGGTAAATTGCAGGGGAGGAGATTGCTGATCTTTCACCCTTGGAGCAGATGGTGGATGCGAGCTGCCTGTCAGATTGACAGTGCAGTCCCTAACCACTAAGCCACCAAAGCTCCCTTTGCATGCTTGTTGTTATGTGCCGTCGAGTCACTTGTGACTCATAGCGACCCTATGTACAATAGCCGTAAACTGTGCTCTATCCCTTGCCAATCTTACTGGCTTCTGCATGCCTATCCCCATACCCCAGTATCGGAATCAATCCATCTCTTCAAGGGTCTTCCTCTCCTGTGCCACCCATCCACCCTTCCAAGCATGATGTCCCTCTCCAAGGACTGGTCCCTCTTAGCAACATGTCCAAAGTGTATCAAATGAAGCTTCAGAATCTTTGCCTCCAAGCAGCAGCCTGGCTTCACCCTCTCCAGGACCAACTAGTTTGTTCTCTTCGCAGTCCATGGTATATTCAATATTCTTCTCCAACACCAAAGCTCAAAGGCATCAACTCTTCTTCTATGTTTCCCTGGGCTTTGTCCAGCTCTCTGAAGCATAGCAAGTAATAGCAAAGACCATGGCCTGTATCAGGTGCACCTTAGTCTCCAGACTGACATTGTTGCTCCTTAGTACCTTGGAGAAGTCTCTGACAGCAGACTTTCCCAGTACAATTCGTGTTTTAATTTCCTGGCTGCTGGTACCAAGAGTGTTGATTCTAGAGCCAAGCAAACTGAAGCTGTCAACAGTCTCAACCTGTTCACCATCTATCATGAAGCTACCAATTGGCCCAGTGGTGAGAATCTTTGTTTTCTTGACTTTGAGCTTCAGTCCATTATGAAGGCTACAATCCTTGACCTTCAGGTCAAGCACTTCAGGTCCTCCTCAGTTTCAGCAAGCAGGGTTGTGTCATCTGCATAACGCAGATTGTTGATGAGTCTACCTCCAACCCCATTGCCACATTTATCCTCATAGAGCCCAACCTCCCAGATAATCTGTTCTGCACATAGATTGAAAAGATATGGAGATATCCTTGATACACACCCTTCCCAATTTTGCACCATGCAGTTTTTCCTTGCTCTGTTCTGACGACTGCCTCCTGGTTCAAGTATAAGTTTTGCATAAGCACAATCAAGTGTTCTGGGATTCCCAGGGAGATAGAAAAGGAAGTGTGAGACTCCTTTGTGAACATTTAATCTCCACATTGAATGAGAGAGCCCAGTGCCTTTGACCTTCCTCTGCCAGCTCTTCCTGCTTTTCCATGGGCATATTTCAGAATGTAGATGAACAAGCCATCTTTGTCTCATGGAAGACATTAACTGGAGGTCTCCTACATCAGAGAGTTAGTATAAAAAGAAAGTGCAATTACAAACCAACTCAGGTTTCAGATCACAGACCACTTTGGACTAGGACACAAGACGTGCTCAGAGAATTTTGTTGAACGAATGAATGATGGAGCAGTTACTAGCCTGCCAAGCAACTCGCCAAGCATTATTGGGGATATTAAGATGCATAGCTTGCTTCTTTCAATCACGCTTTCAACCCAGAAGGGAACTATGAGAAACCTCTAAGCAGTAAATGACAGCACCGACCAGGAGCTGTGCCAGGTGGTTGCTGCAGGAATCAGCCGTTCCAGTGAGAAAAGCAGGAGGCCCAACTGGAGGTTCAGAGTCAGCCTGAGAGTTCTTGTGTGTGTTCAGGAGGTTAAGTGTGGAAACTCCCAGCTTGTTCTCCTGAGCTTAAAAGCTGTTCAGGCCTGTGGTTGCCTGAGCTCATCAAACCTATAACTTAGCCTGCTTATATTGCTTTTACTCATGAATTTACTCCACTCTGGATAACATCTGCTGATTCTCCGATACTTACATTTCTTATTTTTTGGAAAGAGGAAAAAGTACTTTAAAAGAAGAATAAAAACAAAAACCATCTTACCAGTTCACTTACCTTCAATTTCATGACCTCAGCTCCTCCTAGCGTTGAATAGCATCTTTTTCTCATTATTACATCCAGGAGCCTAGAAAAAAGGCACCATCCTGAGAGGTTAGTGCAGGGCCTTGAACCAGTTCATTGTGATTTGACCTTCTGCTGAGAATTTGCCTTTCCACCTGGCTAAACAAAAGCAGAACATACATTTTAACAAGCTCTACATGTTACCAAGTACAGCCAGGTTGCTCCTTAAAAGTAAAGGAAGTGAAACTTCATTCCAAATACTCTCACTCCAAATACTTTGGGTGTATTGTTAGGAGGGGTGAGTCCTTGGAAAAGGACATCATGTTTGGAAAGGCAGAGCAGAGAAAAGGGGAATAAAACCCTCAATGGGATAGATTGACACAGTGACCTCTAACAATGGGCTCAAATGTATGAGAATTCTCAAATGATGAAAATGTTACAGGATAGGGCAAGGTTCAGATACCTGAGTGAACCAGATCATTCCTGTTTTAATAAGGCCAGTGGTTCCCAGCTTTAGCTGCACCTTGGAACCATGTTTGGAGCTTTTTAAGAAAATGCCTCTGGGAAGCAGCAACTCTCTCAGGAGTTCTGATATACTGGGTCTTGGGGGGATCCGGCTTTAGCATTGAAAGGTCTCTCATTGAAGGAAAACTTTCATTCTTGAGAAAACCTGGACAGCTGACTACCTTCAGCCCTTCTGTCCTTTTTGTTGTTGTTGTTTTGTTTTTTAGAATTTTGTATTGCCTATTTGTTGTTTTTGTTGCCTCTCCAGGATTTAGGAGTAACCTAATTTCTAAGAACACGTAGAACATGTAATTGCTCTTCACAATCCCAGGATGTGGGTATCACACCCTATTTAACAGGTTGCCATTGAGTCACGTCCAACTCATGATGGACCAATTCATGAGAGTCAAACTATACTCCATAGGCTGGTCAGTGATTGACTTGCCTGAATTAAATCACCAGGCCTTTCTTCTGAGGCACCACTGGACCCATCTTTTTAAGAAATTGGATATTAAGTTGAAGATTACAGAGCAATTTCATTTCCTTTTGGATGGTTTGTACCTAACTCTTGCATGATACCTGCTGAGCTCACAATTTTTTTAGGGAACATCCAAGCATGCTGTTTGCATTACCCAGGGACTCCAGCTGTATTTTACAGGTAAGGAATTCAAGACTGGAAATAGTAAGCCCAGGGGCTACAACTAGTAAGTAGCAGAGCCAGGCCTTAGAACTAAAGTTTCTTGTCAGATGTGACTGTTATTTTTATTTGGGTTCCAAATGAAATGTTCTTTCCAGTGATATCCCCTGCAGGAGCAGCCCGTCCAGAAGACAAGCATGTGAGTGTTGCCTTTTTCGTTTCGTCCTGCTTCTGCCAGGTGTGCCGTGTGCAGGCCTGTGGCAGAGGAGTCCCTAACCTGTCCCCCTGTCTGCCTCTCTCCCAGGCGGGGAACACAGCGCTGCACCTGGCCTGCCAGAACAGCCACGCCCAGAGCGCACGCGTGCTCCTGCTGGGCGGCTCCCGCGCCGACCTCAAAAATAACGTGGGTGAACAAAACCTGCTTCCCTCCACTTCTCTCTGCGTCACATTGGGAAAGTTTGCTAGATTATGGACGTGAAAGTGTGAAAAGTATTTGAGGAGTATCTAGATAGAAGTACTCATTTGTTATTAGCTTTATAAGGAGTCATATGGAGTCAGGAGAAGTAAAAAAAAAAGTTGGAAACCCTGCTTTTCTCAGACCCTTCCCCCTATCTCCTCAACTCCTTCCTGTTATAGTTTCTTACAGCATGTTCTATTATTTACAGGCTAGGACATCTCAAGATGATTTAAGGAAGTACCTCGCATTTATAGAGAGCTATATTGTTAGAAAGTACCAGATGATGTAGGGGAAGACTTTATGATGCTGTTTTCCATACCCAGTATCTAAAAAGGTCCGGTACTATTGCCTTGAAATGAACTGAATGGTCAGTGGTTCTTCGAAGATGATCAGTATGAAAAGTCATATACACAGTACCTAGCTGCCAGTGAAGAACCTGCATTCCCATTTCTACAACTGTGCCCCAGCCACCTTGGCTAGAAAATGTGACTTGTTCTTCACATTAGCACAGTTCCTTCTAGTCCGGGATAAGAAGAACCCGCTGGGAGGTGCCCCTTCTCTAGACAGAGCTGTAATAAAACATCCAGAGGCACTTCAGAATGCCACAATCTCTGTCTGCAGACTTCTTGTCAACTGTACAGAGTTCATTCTCAGCCTATGGGGCAGATTCTTCAGGAAGAGTTTATTGTTCTAAATTGCCTTTTTGCCAGTGAGAGATCCGTTTCCTCATCAGCTCCCCAGACTACACTCACTAGTATAGGATGTTGGGGCTCTCCTGAGAAGAGATGCTCCTTCAAATTCCACGACTTAGCCTACTGCCCTCTCCTTTCAGCTCATGATCTGTCCAAGATGGAAAGGCATGTTCTCAAATGGTGCTGTTGGTCTTCATCCTGTTTACTCTAGATCCATGGGGGGGCGGGGGGGGGGGGGGAGGGGAGGGGAGTAGTGGATCCCTAGCCAGGTACAGGTAAGCAGGACCTGCCTTGGTTCATCTGAATTTTCCTGTGAAACAAGCAGCCGTTGTGTGTATTGGAAAAGCAGAAATTCAGGTCTACTACTTGGCTTCTCTCGTGGCAGCCCAGACCACGAGTGGGGTCTCTTTGTTAATAGAGGTGTTTGTAATTCAAGTTGGCATCCCCGTGAGAATGTATTATAGTCTGTTAGCTTTTAGATGATCTTTCATTTTTATTTTCTGTTTTGTTCTATGACTGCTCAAACTGTGCTTAGAGTTTGATTTCTGTCCGCAGGCAGGCGACACCTGTTTGCACGTTGCTGCACGCTATAATCACTTGTCCATCATTAAGCTCCTCCTCAGTGCTTTCTGTTCTGTCCATGAAAAGAACCAGGTCAGTGCATGTGAACATCCCCTGGCCGCCAGGCATCCTTCCCACAGTCTGACAGGTGTGTTAAGGAGAGCAGAGGCTGCTGGGAGGTGGTACTCTCTGGGCTGTCTGGGATTCTGCCAGTGATAGCCTTTGCATGGGCATTTCATTGAGCTCTGGTGGTCCTGGCTTGTCTGGTCTCTGGCATGAGTATCGCTACAGGGCATATCACCACTTTTGAATTTTGAACATTTTCTGAAGGTCTGAGGTAGGTTTTGATTTTCAGTAGTGTTTGTTACGTGCTGTCAAGTTGGACCCAACTCATAAGTGTGTTTTTCAGGGGCTGTAAATTACAAAGGAGGAGATTGCCCATATTTCTCGGGCAGCAGTTGGTGAATTTGAACTGCCTGCCATTGGGATGGCAGCAGAACTTTTTTACAAAGAAAACCTACCAGAAATAGTCTTGACATGTGGGGGGGGGGATAGAAATTGTGTGGTTTTCTTTTTCTTTTTTTTCCTTTTAATAAATTATTTTATTTTAATTGTGATTTTAACAAAAGTTTACAGCAAAGTTGGAATTTCATTCATTTGATTTTCATTCAAAATGTTGCACATTTTATCCTATCTCCCTCCTTCCTCCACTTCACTTTTTTTTAATATATGTTTGTTTTTGCATGGCAATAGTTTTCTTTTTTTAATTTACATTTTTTTATTATTATTTTTTGTGTGTGTACCATCAAATCGAATCTCACTAGTACAGGAGGAGATTGCCCCTTCTCCAGCAGAGCATCTGGTGGATTTGAGGCAATGGTTTTCTTAAAACACTTTCAGTGGGGTGAAGAAAATGAGAAGGATCTTTTGCGAAAAACAATGTATTCAAGCTTTGTAAATAAATCAGAGTAATATATTAAAAAAAAAGCTTTCAGCTGTAGTGTGCCACTAAGACGGGGAACCACTGACTTAGTAAAGCAGCTGTCGTTCGACAGCCTCCCCAGTGGATTCTGCATCATCAGGTTACCCACACACAGCAACCCCCATGCCCCAGCCCAGTGCTTTTCAGCTTTGGCAGCTTATTAGGATCACCTAGAGAACTTTTCAAAAATCCTTCTGTCCATCCACCCACCCTCAAGAAAACCCGCCATGCTCAGAGCACGTCCTAGACCAATTAAATAAGAATCACTGGGGTGGCATCTGACATCGGACTGTTTGACAGCACCCCTGCTCATTGCTGTGTGCAGCCAAGTTGGAATCCGTTGCTATAGAGCGTTCTCCAAACACACACAATGAAATGAAACAAACATTTTCCCTGGCTATCCATGGAGGGGGAAACAGTCACGGATGGCTGGATTTTCATGCTGCCCAAGAAGAAGAGTATTACACTTTCCCTGATCCTTGACAGATGATGACAGAGTGAACTGTTTTATTCCCCCTATAATTGATTTGGGCAGCTCTGGTGGCCTAGTGGCAAGAAGGTGCACTGCAAACCCGAAGGCACGCAGTCTGAGGCCACCAGCTGCTCCGCAGAAGGATGGACAGTCTCCTCCCTGCATTTAACTGCCTCTGAAAACCTGCCAGAGGGTCGGCTATGGGTCGGTTCCGACTGTGGTGCACAACAACAACAACATATTTGATTTATTGACATCGATATGTTTGAAAAATAGTATCATTTGCATTTGGAATTAGTCTTCTGAGCTATTTGTTTTCACCCTCGTGTCACAGCTGATTGTCTGAAACTAAATGTTTTATATAAAGAAAAAAGAGGGCTTTATTGGAAAACAATTTTTAAAAATTGCGCTTATTTGAATGCACTGACTTTCAGTCCGCATTCAAACAAAGAACGTCTGATTTCTTCCCAGTGGCTCCTTCAGATCCAGAGTGACCACAGAGCTGGATGACTACAGGACTGGGTGACTGCAGGACTGGGTGACCTCACGGCTGACTACTGCAGTGCTGGGTGACCACACGGCTGGGTGACTGCAGGGGTGGGTGACTACAGGGCTGAGTGACCTCAGGACTGGGTGACTGCAGGGCTGACAACTGCAGGGCTGGATGACTGCAGGACTGGGTGACTGCAGGGCTGAGTAACCACAGGGGTGGGTGACCACAGGGCTGGATGACTGCAGGACTGGATGACTACAAGGCTAGGTGACTGCAGGGATGGGTGACTACGGGGATGACAGCTACAAGGCTGAGTGATCACAAGGCTGAATGACCACAGGACTAGGCAACTGCTGGGCTGGGTGGTTGCAAGACTATCAGCTCATGTGCCTAACTTCACTTTTTTGCAGTTCTGTCTTGTGATTTCTGGTATGTCCAATCAAAAAGGAATGTGATAGTATATTTATACATAGATCATTTAGTTCCAAAATATTTTTTTAGAACTGTATTAATTTTTAAAAAGAAGACAAAGAAGAACCATGTAACACTAAATTCCCATATCAATCTCAGACAAACTTTGCTTTGACTTTGGAGACCCACCAGTAGGCCATGGGAGGAATAGCTAGAGAGAACTGTAGGTGTCTTGGAAGAAAAAAGTTGTTAGCATCTTTTCTTCTGATTAATTTCAGGCTGGAGACACAGCCCTTCATATTGCTGCTGCCCTAAATCACAAAAAGGTGGTGAAAATCTTATTGGAAGCTGGAGCAGATGGGACTATTGTTAATAACGTAAGTTGAGTTGCAACAGTGATTTCTAAGCCTGTCCCCATCTCCTTCAGAATGGGATGTGTTTTGATGGTCTAAACTCCTGCTGATTCCCTGGGCACCTGGCTGCCTTGCCCAGCAGAGCTCTGGGAGACAAGGAAATGGACTGAAGCCACAGTTCCTGGATCCCTGAGGGGAACTTGAGTCCATGAATTGACAAACCCAAGGACCCATGTCTAGACTTGTAGCTGACAGGAGGAGGAAGTTCACAGCTGTCTCATTCAGTAGGCTGACAAATGGGTGTTGCCAACAGTGAGTCCCAGGCATGTGTTTCTCAGAAAAGTGGCCCTCGGAGTCATCCTTCTCAGATGGAGTCCCTCTGCCTTTCTCTCCTGTCCCCCTCTCATTCTCCCTCCTCTCTTTCATCCTGTGGCACACCATAGCTTTTCTGGTTCAAGTATCCTTCCCCCCTCAAGATTGACTTGTGATTTATGCCCTCCTGAAATTGTGCAGGCTCCGAGGGGTTGGCATGTAGTGTCTGGGGAGTATGAGGGTGTCACAGCTGGTGAAAGGCTTAGTCTTCTCGTTCCCTGATTGAGCCCTCACTTTTTCTTTTTACCATGTCCCTCACCATCCTCCGGTTTTTGAACCAGTCAGCAGGGATGTCACATGGTTTGGGGTGGCACAGTCACTTCACGCATGATTCCTTCTTGCACACTTGCTTTTTAATCTCGTTCTTGACCAATCCTTCATTTTAAACTTGATCTCCCTAGAATTTAAATTTTGACAATGACTTTCTTATTGCTGTTCCTAATCTGTTCATGAGACTCAATGCCCATCTCCCCTCTCAGTGTCTTCTTCATGTTCTTCAGGGTGAATTGATTTTTCGGCTAGTGTCATGATCCTTGTGTTCCAGCTCCTGATAGGTTCTATTTTGATCCCATCTGCTATCTATCTGCGTTTCCTCATCTTGCCCAGCATGCATTCCTGTCCACACCAAACCTCTTCCTTTGCAAGCACTTATTGCTCACTGGTCAGCACTTTGCCTCTGGCGCTGTGCATAGTTAATTAGCACACCCTCAGGCACCAGTGGATGCCCTCCCTGGATGGCTGGAGGCCTGACGCCAGGACCATGTCATGTCCATGTTTGTCCTCCACTGAACTTGTGGAGGGGCTGCATTGCCAGCTCCAGGTGAAGGTGTGTGCACAGTGGCTGTCCCCTTACTCATCTGTCCTCTGTGTTTTTCCTTAGGCAGGCCAGACTCCTCTGGAGACAGCACGCTACCACAACAATCCAGAAGTTGCTCTTCTCCTCACGAAAGCTCCCCAGGTATTGCTCTTCCTATTTACTAAAGTTGGGCAAGAAAGTCCTGGGACTATATTACTGATTGTAATATACTAAAGCAAATTTCTGCAAACTTAAAATAATTGATTGGCTCACTAGCAATGGAAACAAAGATTGGTTAACTAAACAGTCATTGGAAAAATTGGAAAATGTAGGAATTCACAGAAGCCTTTAGTGTGACTGGAACGAAAGACTTCTTCAGCAGGTTGCTCCAGTGCGTCTCCCTGAGACTGTTGGCACCAGTAGATTCTTCTATTGTTAACATCCTAGCTGCTTAGCCAAAGAAGATGTTACCATTTAAACATCTTTAGAAAAGATTGTGATTGGTCAGCTTGGGGGAAATGCCTATTCTGTAACAATTAGGAAGAGGGCTTTAAGAAGATTACAACATCCATTCAGTTAAGTGGTTAGAAGAGACATTTCCCAGATAAAAGCGTGAAGGGAGGGGACCATTCTGAGCAGACAAAGCAGCAGGTGTCTACTGTTGTTGTTGTTATGTGTCATCGAGTCACTTGCCACTCGTAGTGACCTTTTATACATGAGCCCTAAACCCTGCTCTATCCTGTGCCAACCTCACTGTCTCCGAGACACCTACTTCCATTACCCCAATCACTGAATCTATCCATCTCATCAAGGGTCTTCCTCTCCTGTGCTCTCCCTCCTCTCTCCCCAACCTGGTGTCCCTCTCCAAGGACTGGTCCCTCCTTGCAACATGCTCAAAGTATGTCAGATGGAGCTTCAGAATCCTTGACTCCAAGGAGCAGCCTGGCTTCACCCTGTTTGTTTTCCTAGCACTACAGGCAGTTAAATACTGTATAATTCCCCCACCCCTGCCTTTTATTAAATAATGCTATTTGGACTATTATTCAGTCTTTTTAAAATGATGGCTTATTTTAGTTAAGAATTTTATTATTATTATTATTATTATTATTATTATTATTATTATTATTATCTGAATAATAA